GTAGCCTCCCTGGAAAACATCCTTCCTTTTACCCCGCATTCCACCATACCGGTTCCGAGAGCCGTGGCACCATTCGATCACTGTGTTCCGAATGACGTTTTCATCAACATTGCGTAAATGCTGATGTTGTCGGACGGCCTCTGAAGATCATGACAATAAATGTAAACCTACCACTAAACACGGCATAGAGGAGGGGTTCCACTGAAAGACATTTTATTTTTAGAAGCCCTCGAGGAGGTAAATTGGAAAATTAGGGTGGCCCCAAAATTCCCGATAGAAGGCTCCGTATAATGTCCTTCACATTACGTTCGCCTATCTTCAACAAGCCATCGACCTGTAAGTAACCGGTTGTAGAAGTGAATTTGAACACAAGCGTACCGTTTTCTGCAGACATTCTTTGTCTGACTTAGAGCGTTGAAGGAAATGGGCCAGGCTCTCTTGTGAACACAGTGGCAAACTCCCCACAGCTGCCATCGAGCATGCAGGGATTGAACGCTGGCTGTCGAGGACAGCAGCACCAAGTTGCTAAAATTTGCCGAGGAGCACACTGTGCTCCGCAGCAATGTGGTCCACGAGTTTCACAAGCATATCAAGTCTTGCACTATGATAAACCATCACAAGGGAAGTGAGGAATCCTTACCGTACATAGTCAATGTCTTGCCTATTCACTACTTCAAAATCATCTAACCTTTTACCAAGGGAAAAGTGATGAGCAATATCAAGCGGTCTTACGTAAGCTTGTCATACAAACGCCTATTCAATTCGTTGCTTTGTCTAACAATAGACTCTAGGGCTTCAAAACGGGCATCAAAGCGGGCTTCAAGGCGGGTCTCCATTGCTTTCAAAGCAGCCTGCATCGCTGCTGGGAGCATATCAGCTGAGGTAACGTTGATACAGCGGCAGTTACTGGAGAATTAGCGAGGGAGCGCACCCTGAAGTATGTTAAAGTAATAGTCCTTACTGAGGAGTGGTTGGCCAACCGACAGCGCGTTCAGCCCTTGGCGGCTCATTTTCTTTATCAATTATGTCGTCTTCAGATTTCGACGATAGCTGACGACGAATCTTAGAAAAGGAAACATTAGTTGTACTAAACGCTTACTTCCTTCGGCAACCCCTGCCTTTCTGCGTAGGTTCAGAGCTCGACAAATCGGAGGTCTTTTCCGCTAGCTTAGCGCGACGGTGAGCCTCCTCTAATGGGAAATAGTTACCCAGTATCCTAACTGGGTAATAAGGCGTGCCCTCTGGTGGCCGCTCGTCCATCTCCAAACAACGTTTTCGCACTTTCCGATTATCGAGCCACATGACACGACTCTTGTCGTGGTCGTGGAACCACTTCTCTCCAACAACATCAACTGAATTTTCAGTGGTAAATACCACAACGAAGTACATCTAAATGAAAATTAGATGACACTCAGGTCATTTACGTTAAGAACAAAACATGAAAAGGAAGAGTTTGCAATAATTTTATTGTTCCGAAAAAGTATGTGAAAGAGGTATGAGGTTAAAGCAGTTCTCAATTAAAAATGGGACATGTTTACAAAGAATATCACATAGTGCAGCAGACAGCGTGGTGTTTTCCAAAGTGGAGGCTTTGAACATAAAAATGGTTGAGGAGGAAAAAGAGGGGGTGGTAAAGAGGTCGGTGTAGTCAGTAAAAGATCTATAGAGTATACAGTCGGTCGTAAATCCACTAAGTTGACATGGCCTATTGCCAATGAGTACTACATGGTCGGGAAATTCGGTCGATAATAAATATCCCTTGTGAAAAATTGCTTTAAATCCATGGGGCAAATTAAGGGATCGCGGAACGCCAACGTCGTCCTCCAACATAATTGAACTGGACGTCGACTCATGGTTACGCCTTTCGAAGTAGCGGCGATACACCTGCGAAGCGCAATGGCGAGCTCCACTAATATCTTTTCTAACATCTTTCAAATAAGATTCGAAGGGAAAAGCCGAGAAGTTGTCTAACATTCCGAACCGAAAAACGTCGTCGGGAAGGTGGAGCAGAGAATGAAAATAGTCGTGGACAAAATTGGTCAATAATTGTCGACCAGGAACAGCATAACGCTTGTAAAACAGGATGACGAAAAAATTAATAGGCGTAGACAACATCAAAAAGGATTATAAAGGTCAGATTCAAGGAAATGGGTTAAAACAACGGGACCTATGTACAGTAAAAACTGACGGTTCTCAGATGCCTTCCAAAACTTGAGATAGTTAAGCGATCTGCATTTTCGTGCAAATTCGGCCGGTAGGCATCGACTGCAAGTGTCATGTTGTGTCCCCCAGTTGTACGTATGGGTGAGAAGACAGAAAGGATAACCGAGAATAGTTTACTATAACAATTCCTGCGTACACATCAACTCT